TCATTCCTGGTTTACCAAACCACTGTCGCTACTGGCTTGCTTGGTTTGAGACTTGTGGAGCTGCGCATTGATGAATTTGCTTTCAGCAGTGAACAATAAACCACACTGAACTGAATTGAACTCTGAAAACGGGACTGACACAGTTTCAATTGACTAGAACCTCTTTGTTAAGCTGCTTTGACTCAATCTACATCGTAAAACCGCTAGAGAAATAAAGATGAACTGAATTGAAATGGAAGAAATACAACAACCATACTGGTTATGAAGACAGTTCTGTCATTTATTCAGTGCCCAATGCTGCTTGTTTCATATCCGCTAACACATTAACATGCGTTCAGGAGGCGTGGCTTCGGACGGCAATTTGCATAAAGTGTGGGATGTACACTGTCAGTGCTATCAGGCTAAAGCATTTTCCAAGTGTCCTTTACGTATGGGATAATGTACCATGCTATCATGCTAAAGGCACAGTATATAATTGCCACTAGGGGGCGAGCATTCAAAACAAACAAAGTCTTAGGCTGCGTCCGAAACCGCATACTTCCATACTATATAGTACGCTAAAATCAGTATGCGAGCCGAGTAGTATGTCTGAATTGATAGAATTCGAAAATCAGCAGGCGAGAAGTACCCGGATGACTATCTACTTCCGGCGAGATTCTGAAGTGTGCATCCCATGCACGCTCCGCTATCCCATAATGCCCCGTGAGAGAATTCATGAATGGAAGTGAGGCGACGAATCTGACGCAGGAAGGTCACGTGACCATGACAAAATGGCGGAAGTAGTACGTCCGAATTCCATCCATACTTTTCACATTCATACTGTATAGAGCGTACTTTTCTAACGGCCGAGTAGTACGTTTAAATTCAAATGCAGTACCTGCTGAGTAGTAGGCGGTTTCAGACACAGCCATAGTTTGATAACGCCGTGTGGAGTGTGGTGTCAGGAGTTGTTGTCAGTAAGAAATTTTGCACCTGTGGTGTAATTTTTCAGACCCTTTTCAGACCTTTTCAGAGTTTTGTAGTTGCCTCCAGTGTGGAAAGGCTACACCGATATTAATTTGTTAATTTGCTCTGATTGGATCCGTGGTGAAAAGAATACTGAAAAATCTATCTCAAGTAAAAGTACTATTACTTGGCAAAAATGTAGTGCAAATAAAGTAAAACTATCTCAAAGTAGGAGTAAAAAGTAGCCAATTTAAAACTATTCAAGAGAAGCGAGTATCATGCTGTGAAAATTATTCCTTACTAATTAAAAATGTAACTTAAGATTGATGCGTTATCATGTTTAGGGAAATCTGTTTAACCTTGGAGGCAAAAAAACTAACCGTGCCATAGGGCTGCGCAATTAATCGAAAATCCGATTTCGATTTTTGGCTTCTAACGATTATGAAAAACCATTAATCGAGATAAACGATTATTGCATCATATACCGCCCCCTTTCCAGTTGTACATGTGTTGCTCTAAAAAGCGCGAAAGACACCGCATACTTATGTGTTAGCACTCGGTCTCATTCGCACACCGGGACAAGCAGAGCGCACACACCTCATCTCAACGTGAGCACTTTAATGGTCAAATAGGTGTCAAAACGCAGTGTTTAGTGATTATTCATATTAACTCTCATTTGTGTAAAAAAACAAACGAGTTGAGGATCAAAAGACACGTGAAAGAGAAACCATTAAAGTGGCCGCGCGAAATATTCCAGCTGCCGCCTGTTTCTATCATTAATCAAACAAAACGAGAAAGTCCCTCACTGCTCTGGACTTTTGTAGCTAAAGTGTTTTCTTACAGTGAAGATGCTCAAAGCACAGTTTGTTTCATATTTTTATTCTATTGTATTTATTTCTCTTTCTTTTGCTTAGTGGAAAATAATACATGCAGCTGAAGTCAGAATTATTAGCCCTCCTGAATATTAGCAACCCTTTTCCTCCCCAATTTCTGTTTAATGGAAAGAAGATTTCGTTCAAGCGTTCAGATTCAAAGAGCAATTCAAAGGCTTAATTAGGGTAATTAGGCAAGTCATTGTATAACAGTAGTTTCTTCTGCAGACAATCAAAAAATATATTGCTTAAGGGGGCTAATAATATTGACCTTAAAATGGGTTTCAAAATATTTAAACGTGCTTTTATTCTAGCCAAAATAAAACAAATAAGCCTTTCTCCAGAAGAAAAAATATTAAAGGAAATACTGTTCAAATCCCTTGCTCTGTTAAACGTCATTTGGGAAATATTTATAAAAAAAAAAAAAGAAATTCTCAGGAGTGCTAATAATTTTGACTTCAACTGATAATCATTTTGAATAATCGTGATTATGATTTTTACCAAAATCGAGCAGCCCTACCGTGCCAAAACGTTAACGAGCAGGTTATGACCTTTATACTCCATCTAACAAGCTCCTGCAACACTGATAGGGTACATGCAGGGTTGCCAACTCGCACATATCCGCCAGTATTTAGCAGTACTTTCACGCATGACCCAAGGACCCTAACCCCCCAATTATTACCCGATTATGGTCGCCGACCACCCTGCTCTTGACTTATTCACCGCTTATGATCGCCACCGCAATCCCAATTCCCCCTTTCCTGTCGACCCCTCTGCCCCTTTTCATTTATTCTCTGCTTATTAGGGCTGCAACTAACAATTATTTTTATTTATTTTATTTTTTTTTATTAGTCGTCGGTTATTTTGATACATCAGCACATACGAATACAGTCTCAGTCATACAGTGGGAAAGAAAAAAATATAAAAGGGGTAAATATACAAACAAGTAAACATGGTAATACAGTCGGGCTAGGAGCAAAACAAATATATATATATATATATATATATATATATATATATATATATATATATATATATATATATATATATATATATATATATATATATATATATATATATATATATATATATATATATATATATATATATACACACACACACACACACACATATTTATACACACACACACATATTTATACACACACACACATATATATATATATATATATATATGACATTTGCACGAAATTGCTCATATATATATTCTGTGCAAATGTCAACCTTGCCATGAAAAAAAAAAGTTTTTACCAAAATACGGAAACCATTTCTGGGTTTTTTGTGTAAGCAAGTATTTTACAGTACTTTAAAAATACTCAAAAAGCATCTGTTACTGTTTTCAAATTATTCTATTTGATTTACCAAAGTTACACAAATGGTAATTTCACATGCTTCACATCCATAACAGAGAGATGTCACATCCATAACGACACTTTTTCCTCAGAAATGTGAAAATATTAAAAAAATAAAACCAATCATTTTTGTTTTATAGAGAGCCGACTCTAATCCTTTTGATTAGCATTATTTCTTTTGGGTTGTGCAGTTTAATTCACATAATTTCTACAAAGTGTGTTGTATACTGTAAACTCGCAGACTTTTTTTTGTCACATCCATAACGCTTGCTTATTTTCCTCATTTAAAGTACAAAACACGTTTACAGATTGATATTTTTCTGCTCCCATAACTCTGTGGCTGGTTGCTCTAGAAAATATAATCAAATTTTTCAATATAATGTTAACAAATACTTTCTCTGTCAATTTATGTGTTGAGTTTTTACTGCAAATAACACATCCATAACGCTGGAATTGCTCATATATATATGTGTGTATAAATATATATATATATATATATATATATATATATATATATATATATATATATATATATATATATATATATATATATATATATATATATATATATATATATATATATATATATAGATATATATCTCTTTAAAGCAAAATTGTGAATAATTGTTTTGCTTTTGGAGTTTGTGAACCACAGCTTAAAAATAAAATCACACACAAAACCCACCCCAGTATTAATATTACACGATAAAAGTCATGAATGACCGCAAACATATTGTTTTCATATTCCTCACTGACTTCAATATAATATTCGGCGTATTACACGCCATTTTACACAGCTTTGAGCAAGAGTTATCGAGAGTTTGCTTTTTAAGTTAAAACTAAAGGTTAAACACGGAGTTAATCCTCCAGTGAAGTGATTTATTGACTCGTGTTGTCATGAAGCGGTTTCTCTCATCACTCACCGCGCTCGTCGCTGACCACACAGGGCACGAGCCGAGGCTGTAAATCACGTAAATAAACTTTACTCATGCATACAACGTAAATGAAGATAAAACACAGGTTTAATAGGAAAACGCGTCGTTAAACTGTCGATGCTTGCAAAAAAAAACTGTAAGAACGCTCAGAAACACAAACCTTTATGCAGACACAACACGCTCAGGAGCAGGAGGAGCGCGGCGGCGCAGCTGTTGACGTCATTTCTGCACACCAAAATAAAAGCCTCGAACGGTCAAACTTTAGTTTTACAACTGTGGAATTTTTAAGTGTTTTTATTATTTTTTTTTATTATTAAATGGCTAATACTCACTAACGCTGCGTTTATTTGATCAAATCACAGTAAAATAGTAATACACTGGAAAATATCCCAAAGATTTGATAACTGAAAATGGCTTGTTTTAGTTGAGTATTTAATCGGTTATTAACTATCTTTGAAAACTGCTTCTTCTGCTGCAAAACCAGCTAAGTTTGTATATTGAGGTAAAGTTGGTTTTATATTCGCGCATTCAATCATTTAACTTTCTCTATATTGTTTACCAAGCTATATTCAGTATGAATTAGCATGTAAGTATGACAACACCAACACTATCTAATTGACTGTAAACATGGTTGTACTTGATAGTCATTGGCTGCTAATATGATTTCCCAACTTAGAATTTGGTGCACTTTACTGAAAATATATTATTAAGCAGAATGTCTGAATATCCAGCCTGATCTCACGAGGAAACGCAATTATTTTACGTTTTGTCAGTTTAGTGGCTAAAGCCTCCTTTCCACTGCACACAACAAACGACAAGCGACAGACCGGAAGTCATTCATTTCCAATGGAGAGTAGTTCGGGAGCTGCGGGCAGTTCCGATCATCTCCGTATGCGGAAAATTTGGACCTGATGAAATATTTGGTCTCTTGCGATTAGACCGTATGCGACCGCCCGACCGGATGTGATGTATTCCAGTGTTGTACAAGCAGGTCCGTGCGTGAAAGATGAGAAATACTAGGTTTATTTTGGTTATATTTTAAATTAGAAAAAGTCTATATTAACAAAAAACATTTGTTCATAAATGTAAGTAATAAAAATATGTTTTATGTTGTCTTCACCCCCCCAATATGTTAGCGGTCTATGAGTTTCTAGTATTCATTCATTCATTCTACCATGGTAAACAGACGGAGAATAAAGGCTCTTATTTTTGTACCCCTTTATTTCGGACACTGCGAGAACTGCTTCTCTCCCATGGTGCACGTCAGAACTGAAAATTCTGTGCAACTGCCACAAGGGGGCGTATTCCGACAGTCGTGCCCAAATGTCGTGTGCAGTGGAAAGGCGGCTTAATTTGTACGAGTTCTTTAAAAAGGAGGCGTGGCACCCAACCCCACCTCTAACCCCAACCGTCAATGTGTGATGAGCAAATCGTACTAAATTGTGCGAATTAGATTGTACGAATTCATACAAATTAGCCACTAAATCAAAAAGTTACGAATTGCCGTGAGATTGCGTTGGAAAATCCGAATATAAAACCAACTTTACCTCTATATTTTGTATGAACGTTTCCACACAACGCTGTGAAACAGATATACACAGCACAAAATGTTTTTAGAGTTTGTGTCATGTTTATAGACAACAATATATAGTTTTAGTTTCAGAAATAAGTAAAACTTCAGTTAAATTTGAAATTAAAACAAGCAAAATACCATGCCAGAGGGGTAAAACAAAACGTTTTCAGTTTGAAATAAGATTATTTTACTTATCCAATTGTTTTAATATAAAACTCACTTAATTCTGTGATTTCTGAAAATGAAACATTTTTTACTTGTCGAAAAATGTTTCTTGATTCAAGAATATCTAGATATTCGGACAAGAAACAAGAGGAAAACGCTACAAATAAAGAAACTGACCTGCACAACGGAGGATGTTTTTATATTTAAAATGACAGATATTGATATTCCATTGGACATTGGTCCAATATCCTAATAACGAAACATAAAATACTGCTAATAAAACCACTACCTCCCTGATATTCTGAAAATTAAAGGTACTACTTTATTTTGATGGTCCATTTGAGTATTAGTAGGCTGTCTTCTTAACATCTGTTGATACCGCTCCTTCAACACACTGTCTGTAGAGGATGAGGGAGCTCTCAAAATTCACCCGTAATATCTTCATTTGTGTTCTGAAAAAGAACGAAGGTCCCAGGGGTTTGAAACGACATGAGGGTGAGTGATTAATAGCAGAATTTCATTATTGTGTAAACTAATACTTTAAGTTAAGCCTTATTCTATGCCAGCTAGTAGTATTTGAGCTATATATCATGTGCTCGAAGCTGCTTCAGTTGCTTAAAAGGATGAGACTGGTGAAGTTATGCTACATGGAATTGCAGAGGATATAGGACTCGATGGGAAATTCAGCATGAGTGTCGTAGTGGGCAAACTGACTGTCATTGGGCCACTCTTTGGTCCGATTCAACGACAGATATAAGGTTGTTGTGGCCAGCCATATCAGTAGCCATGTTTCCACCCACTTATTTTTCTGTGGATTTTAGATTATTCCTTACAAAACGGAAACACTAAGATGTGCTTAAATAAAAAAATATAAGTGTTGCGCATACAATGGTTAACCGTTATATCCAATAAGAAAGATTAACATAGACTATACAGGAAACACATTACAGAATAAATTCCATTGAAAGATTCTAACGTGATAGTAGTATTACGGTTTCACGGTATTGTGATTACTGCACTAAAATATATCCTTTTTAAATGTCTGAGTTAAAAACAAGAACTTTTTTTCTGCCTTGAACACAATGGCTGCATCCGTAACTGCATACTTTCATACTATAGAGTACGCTAAGAATAGTATGCGAACCGAGTAGTATGTCCAAATTCATCGAATTCGAAAAAAGGTATGTGAGAAGTACCCGAATGACCTACGAGATTCTGAAGTGCGCATCTGATGGATGCTACGCTATCCCTTTATACACTCCGAGAAATTCAATGGGAGTGAAGCGAGATGACAAAATGGCATCGGTAGTACATTCGAGCTCCATTCATTCTACATAGAACATACTTTTCTATCGGTAGTAAATTCAAATGCAGTACCTACTGAGTAGTAGCCGATTTCGGACACAGCCAATATATTTTATTTTTTAATTATTATTATATTTTTTTACTTTTTGTTATATAAGATTTTCCAATATATATTTTACAGAACAGCCCCCAAATTATTTTAAATTATTTTATAATTTCATTATTTTTTTATGTATTCCCAAATCAATAAAAAAACTAGACAGTAAAGTTCATCAAAACAAACTTTGAGGCTGGCTTGACAAAGCCTGTTGGTAATAGTTTATTCAGTTTAAACAGTTTAATTAGTATGTTATTAGCATGATTCTAGTATGAATTAGGATGTTATTAGCATTATTCTAGTATAAATTAGCATGATTTTAGTATGAAGTAGTGTGTTATTAGCATGATCCTAGCATGAATTAGCTTATTAGCATGATTCTAGTAAGAATTCGCATGAATTAACATGATTCTTGTAGGAATTAGCATATTATCAGCATTATTCTAGTATGAATTAGTATGTTATTAGCATGATTCTAGTATAAATTAGCATGCTACTAGCATGATTCTAGTAACAATTAGCATGATTCTAATTTGAATTAGCATGTTACTAGCATGATTCTAGTATGAATTAGCATGTTATTAGCATGTTTCTAGTATGAATTAGCATGTTATTAGCATGATTCTAGTATGAATTATCATGTTATTAGCATGATTCTAGCATGAATTAACATGTTAGCATGATTCTAGTATGAATTAGCATGTTATTAGCATGATTCTAGCATGAATTAGCAAGTTATCAGCATGATTCTGGTATGTATTAGCATAATATTAGCATGATTCTAGCATGAGTTAGCATGTTATTAGCATGATTCTAGCGTGAATTAGCATGTTACTAGCATGATTCTAGTATGAATTAGCATGTTACTAGCATGATTCTAGCATGAGTTAGCATGTTACTAGCATGATTCTAGCATGAGTTGGCATGTTATTAGCATAATTCTAGTACAAATTAGCATGTTATTAGCATGTTTCCAGTATGAGTTAGCATGTCATTAGCATGATTAGCATATGAGTAGCATGTTGCTTGCATGATTAGCATGTCATTAACATGTTAGAATTATTAGCATTTGATAGCACAGCTAATTACAGTCTATAGGACAGTTGCTAGGGTACAGTATGTGGTAGTTAGGGGTGTGGCTAGAAAGTTAAAAGCTCATCAGTTATTGGCAGTTTGGTAGTCTGAGTTAAATGAGCTCAGCCATTAGTCTCTATGACAGTCTGATGCAGAGTTATGAGCTCACAAAGTTTGATCCCAGGTTAAGTCAATGAGAGTCTTTTGAATGGAAGTCTATGGGACAGTTTCTAGGGTCCAAAAGTGGTTGCTAGGGCGTGGCTAGAAAGTTTAAAAGTGATCAGTTATTGGCAGTTTGATAGTCTGAGTTAAATGAGCTCAGTTAGAGTTCTGTGCGACAGTCTGACGCAGAGTTACGAGGGCACAAAGTTTGGTCCAATGTTAAGTCTATGGGAGTTTTCCGACAGTCCCGGGACGTTTTTCAGAAAACCGAAAGTCGGATCAGTCTGAGGAGATATAGCAACCCGAGTCAGAATAGTTTGGAGGTCTGGTGTGAGTTTGGTGGTCATAGTTCGAAAGCTCTAGGAGGAGATAGAGTTTAATTTTTAGTCTCAGAAGAAAAATAATAATAAGTTTAAATAGCATTTCAGTAGTCTGGCTTTGACAAGCCAGCCTAATAAATGAAAGGTACTGCCATCATAATTACTTTTCAGGAGATACATTTGTACATCAAGTTACATTGTAGTTACCTCAAAGTACAGTGGTGATAGGTTAAGTAACCTTTAAATGTACATATCTAAACATGTCGTAATACTTTTCCACCTCTTCAGAAAAAAATCAGTCTTCATTTGTAGACATGCAGTCATTTTTTCCATTATATAGACCTGTTTTAGTGTCTAAATCCACCGATATATTTTAATTTCAGAAACATTTATAATATTTCGGAACAGTAAACATGTCAGGCTAAATAGTTCAAATGAGTCAATGACTTTGCGATCGTCACTAGTTTCAAAAACACTGATTTGGATCTTTTCTTCTAGAGATACTGTTGTCCTAAAAAACTTAAAAAAACGTTTTAAAAAATGCGGTATAATAGAACATTTTGGCGGTTTTAAAACCTTGACTTCTCCAAATACCTTAAAAACGGTTATCGTCCCATGCCTAATTGGGAGAACAAACCAGTGGAGCTCATCAATGTAAAAACATCTATAATGTTGTTTTAGTCGTTCTAAAATCCCTCAGCCAAAGTCCACCATCACAGTGGGTCAGTATTATTATTATATTATTATTTACATTCACAAATGTAAAGTCTCAAGCCTCCACGAACATTCATTGCATCGTCATCTTCTGGGGTAAAGTCATTTATTATAGAAGAAAAAAGTGGCTAATCACTTCTTCCCAATCGTTTTTGGCGTCAGTTTATCAGGAAGTGACGGTTTTCTTCTCTTTGACGTGCTGGATGGAAATGGTGCTTTATTCGCAAATGTTTTATGGAGTTTTACAGTTTTTCATGCAAGTCTAAAATCTCATCATTGGATGTAAACATGAGTATTGCCAATTTCTGTACAGAACATTTGCATAAAATTAGCCAGAAGCAAGGGAATTAGAAAAATCTGCATCTTTATTGACTAAAAAACAGGTGGCTCAAGTATTTTAAATAACATTTTTATTGCCGTTCACAAAATGAGAGTCATTATGAAGTCGACATTCGTACGGAGACATACATTCTGACAGCAGTAGTCATATTTGCGGACAATCTAACAACTTCCAAAATCAGTCACATCAGAACATTGTAAACTCAAGGCAATAAAAAGCAAACGAACAGGTGAAACCTGTTACAATGATCATGAACGGTCAAGAATCTAGTGCACAGAACAATGATACGTTTTCAAAAGTACAAATCAGACCTAAAATGTGACAAAACCAGATTTCAGCGTGCATTTGCAGCGATTTTAAGTAAAATCCTAGGCAGCTCTGATTGTGTTCACATGCTTAACAGTGATCTTCACTTCATCCATTCACGAGTGCTTACATGACCACACAATAGTCATTGAAAAGATATACGAGCGATCTGCTGACAAATGACCTGATAGACGCGGCTTTCAAACTTGCTTTATATCGATGTATCTGTAAAGAGCATGATGATCACTGTAGCCAATCACAGTAATATCTGCTGAGCATGTGAACATAATGGCCAATCAGAGGTGATTTAGGCCCCGTTTAGACTAGTGCGTTTTAGTTTTAGAACGGTGTTCTAGATCAAAAACGATCCGCGTACACATTAGCGTTTCACCTAGCGTTTCTGAACATATCTCCATCCATACTACGCCACCAAAAACGTACATCACGTGACCATTCGCGCACTCTGGGCATGCGCGTTCTAGAATAAACAGGAAGCATGTGTCTCGCTCGGCATTTGGTTATTGTTGGTCAACAAACGTCGGTTGAACAATGAACGCGATGGCAAAGAAAGCAAGAGAGGTATTTTTGTGGACAGACGACGAGGTCGAGTTGTTACTAAACGTAACAAATGATTACCTGCACGATGCCGCCTAAAACAGACAATAGTGCAAACAACGCTCCCATTTCTGTGCCCATGTTGTTGTTTACAGTGAAGGCTGGTCTGCTGTCTCCCGGTAGCCTTAAAGCCATGTGTTATAGTCATGTGATAGGGGCTTGACGAATAAGGGAAGGATACGCAATGACATAAAAGCCCCAATCAGCTAGCGAATCTCAGCAGCCCCGCCTCCGTTTTCCCCCATCCTCACTGAGACAGAGCAGCAGCGTTTCAGAATGAAAACGGGCTCATCAGCGTTTCCAAAACGCTCCATTTTCGGCGCTCCAAAAACTCCGGCGTAGTGTGGACGGATGACGTGACAGTGGCAAAACTTATGCGTTTTCAAACTAAAACGCATTAGTGTAAACTGGGCCTTAGAATCCACATAAAATCACTGCAAACGCGAGCAGCAAACTAAACGCTTTTGTTTTTAAATCTTGGTAATGATCGTTCCCGAAGTCAGTACTTCTGAAACAATTAGCTACTCTTAAAAGTAACTGCTGTAATTGATGAGGCTAAACCCCAAAAGACAGTCCTCTAAGACAAGTCTAAGTTGATCTTAGAAATGGCGTCACCAATAGAGCTGCAATGAACTAAGACAGTGCTTTTGGGAAACGCAGCCCTTAAAAGTGAACATTATGGAAAGCATGCTTCCAGCCAGGATTAAGAACATTGTCAACTGATTTGCAGATGAACAGAACATTGACCAGTTTGCAGATGACTAATGGCTCGTTTCCACTGACTGGTACAGGACGGTTCACGTTTGCTGAAGAAATAACGTGCTTCTTGGTTTCGCCTTTTTTCCCGCGCTCCACTCTCGCGTTTGTCCTTTTCTTTCTGAATGTGTCACTCTCGTGTTTGTCAGCTTCTCACAGGATCGGGTTTCCAAAGCTTGTCAATAATCAAGTGCATGTTATTATCATCAGATCAAGAAGTTTGTTATTTCAGGTAGAGACGCGCGGCGAGCGCAAGGAAAAAAAGCGAAACCACTCGGGCTTCAGACTGGCTCGTTAAAAACTATGTTAAAATCCGCTCTTCTCCATGGCTTTGTGGCTTTTTATCATGACGACGACAGGGTTTGTTTGCAGGATTGACCATGGCTGCATATGTATTTATAATTCCGCTATAATCTCTCACTGTGTATTTTAAACATGTTGGGTCTTTTGTTTACATTCTGGCTTGTTAAATCTACGAATGACGTATCTCTGTAAACCAATAGCGTTCAGCTGAGCGTGTAGCTCCACCTTTTGGGACCCTTTCTGCAGTTTGGGACCTTTTCGAAAGGGTCCCGAAAAAGTAGTACGGTACGGTTTGGTTCGGTACGTCTTTTGACAGTGGAAACGGCCATAAAAGCGTACCAAACCGAACCGTACCGTACCACTCAGTGGAAACGGACCATATCTATACCAAGCACAACAATCTCCTTATTATTAACATACGTCCTTAGTCTTTATTTTGGTCTTGCATCTGTTGGAGCAACAATAAAAAACTGACGTAATGAATTGTCGGTGTTAACACGATCCCCAATGGCTTTTCTATCTGTACACATTACAAATACAGACATACAGAAACTGTTCCCTCGTGTGTGAGGTACTTACTCATGTGGTCACTTTAAATCCTTCCACAGGGACTGCATATTACCGGCTCCTCTCCAAAGTGAGTCCTCAAGTGTCTGTCAAGCTTTGCTTGAAACTTCTTCCACATTGGTGAAAGGCTTCTCTCTGGTGTTCCTCAATTCTCATGTGGTCTTGGATGTATGGTTTCTGATTGAAGCTCTTTCCACACTTGAAGGCAGATGTAGGGTTTCTCTCCTAACATGGACTTTAAGGATTCCCTCTTTTCCTGAAACTCTTCACACACTGAGAACTTAGGTAGGCTTTTCCTTCAGTGTCACTTCACATGGAATTCAGAGCAATCCTGTTCAACTCTATCCACGCTCAAGGCAGACGTGTCTTCTCTTCAATGTCGTTACTAATATGTCCGTCAACTCTTACTTCCTGAGAGAAACTTAGCCCACAGCAGGTGGAATGCTGTTGATGAAAGTTTCCTTTCCGGCTGAAACTGTCTCCAGTGTTTTTTCTCTTGTGGACTGTCTAAGTTGAGCTAACCTCCTTCCACACTGTTGACCTGTATAAGGTTTCTCTGCTGCCTTCGATTGAGCTTACTTCACACTCCAAACTCTTAACACGTGAAAGATCTCTCCGTCTGAAAGGGTTGGTTTTGTTGTGTGGGTGAAAATTCTTTCACAACGTTGTCAGGGAAAGTAATGTCCCGTCCAAGCAAATTTGAAAAGGAACATAAAAGCTTTTAGTCTGTGGGCACCTCTAAATCGTCATGATTCTCCCATATTGAACTTTGTTGTCCATTTCCTTCAGTACTTCACTGTCCTTTATCAGCCCAACAAGATCTAATCTGAAGAGAAGGAAACGCAAATTAACATCAGTATTACGAAGCAAAAGACTTCCCAGAGGGCACAGCACGTCAACATGATTGATGTTGAACACCAATGTTGTGGGGCGTTGCATTTTGGGTGGAAATTAAAACTGAGTTGAGGTCTGAATTAGTGCTGTCAATCGATTAAAAAAAAATTAACTAATTATTCGCACATTTAAATTTTTTTTTTATTGCGATTAATCGCGATTAAATTAAAATACTGAAACTTGTAATTTTGGCTATTCAAATGTAAAATCAATGTAAACGCAAGACAAAAACTATTTAAATTCAAAATATAATTAAACTTGTAACACAGATTTCTTCATGTAAACAACATACCCACAATAAACCATCAAGATCCTGGCTTGACAGCCATATTTATTAACGAAATGAAAACACAGGCATGTTAATGACATTCAAATTTCAAAACAATCAATGCCAATAAAGGAAACATCGATTTCCATGTTGGATTCTAAATTGACTGCAAAAAAATGCCAAAATACAGGAATTGCAGATATGGAAAATGAAAAATTATAATAATAAACTATAGAATACAAACTGTTGCACTCATTGTAACGTTTTATTCCTGTGAGTTGAGAACATTAGTTACAGAGTGGAAACAATTTTGCTTAATCCTCCTTTACATTCATCCAGTTGCTAAGACTAGGAGTATCCCGCAAGTGCATAGAGACTCCCAAACGCCGCCAAATGAATGATAATTTCTCGCAAACCGGTCGTTAAATACATTGCACACCCCTCTCCCCCGCATCCCTCCTAGCTCTTCAGGTAGCCTATGTCGCGCGCAACTCACCCCCACCGTCCTTCAGGTACGTCTCGCGCGCACACGCCCCTACTCAGATACGTCGCTCACTCCACCCCTGACACCCCTCAACGGGCCTGACACAGACACACACACACAACGCACTGCAGACGTTTTGGCCCCAATGGCCTTCCATATTGGAGCGACTCCCCTCAGATTCAACACGCATGATCACGTTCATCAAATTTGCTTTAACTAAGCGTCCTAAAGTATTACTGTATTTCACAAGGATTCTGACACAACAACGTGAAGCATACGCTTTCGTTGCGTTTAATGAGGAAACACGCTAAACTTGGAGGGCTCATGCTGAAAGGCAGAGTAAAGCCCGGTCTTTGACAGCTCGCAACTTCACCAGAGACTTTCTGAGTACATTCACATAAGACACCAATACTCCGATTTTAATATGATTAAGATTATACTCTTATTAAAAGTCTGCCGTGTAGCCTAAGCAGTGATTTTATTACCTTAAAGGAACACCGAGTCACGAAATGCGGAGGATTTTCTTTCTGTTCGCCATGCGGCATCAACTTACAATAGAAGTCGAAAGTTAAAACTGAAACACCCGAAATTGCATGAAACTTTGGAGAGCCTGGTGATGCGACTAATTGTTTTATACTGGAACTTGCCTTCAAAAAGTGCTTCCTTGGTCTTATCCACATTTCTTGCATGTTGAACACACGTCCACCACAACAGGAAGTTAAAAAAAAAAACCTGCAACTGCGTTAATTGCGTCAATTTTTTTTATTGCGTTAATTATTTAAAATTAAATCGCATGCGTTAACGCACTAATTTTGACAGCACTAGTCTGAACCCAATGTCACGATATGCATTTTGATCACTTACCTAAAAACAACCAAACATCAACGTCTAATGATGACACAGCTTGACGTTGTGTGGACGTTACCACTATGACGTCTATCAGATTTTGGATTTGAATTGCCATACCTGACAAATGTCAGTATTTGATGTCAATATGCATTGGATTTTGGTCACTTACCAACGCAACCTGAAAACAACCAAATATCAACATCTTATGCTAGGCTTGTGCGATTAATCAAAGGCGATATTCAAGTGGATTTTGTCAGTAAATCCAGTTCTAATAAATCTCCAACAGGTGTGCTAAGCTTGATAGGGGAGTGGCGTTAATAAGCGGGGAATTTAGGCTGCAACAATGAATCGATTACAATCGATTACTAATAGCATTGGCAATGAATTTCATAATCGATTTGTCATGTCGTGCAATGCGGAGACATTTGATTATTAAAAACAAACTTTAGTTGAGCGCGGAGCGGAGTAAACACACCCTGCGTCTCTCGCACTGATGCCAGCAGGGTTCGGCACCTCATAGACAAGACAGAGTAAAAAAACAGGCAGAGGTAACGTTAGAGGAAAGATACTTGGCGAAGGCAGAAAAATCTGTGCGACCCTAGTCATCCAAGGCGTGGGAGCATTCTAAACTAAATAAACAAAAAAAAGTGTGTTGAAGGCTAAATATGCAAGCGTGATGACAGGAGTACCACGGCAGCGATCCAGCACCTGAAATGCAAACATGTTGGAGTCTTTAATGAGGAGGAAGAGCGCAATAGCAGGGTAAATCACTACAGAATCTCGCTTTTGTTCCGTTTTGAAGTATGGAATGTAATGTTCCTGGTGTTTACTTGTTATCCAGCTTAAAGCATGGCGTGAAAAATTCAAACTGAGTTTCGGAACGTTGGCTGGCGCTGAGCCAAACAAACATGTGTCATGTTATCACAATTATGCAGTGTTTTTAACCACCCAATGCTTATTTTATGTTTTGGACATACAGTTGAAACCAGAAGTTTACACACACTGTATAAAAAGCCACATAACCGTTTAAAAAAGTCAGATGCTAATGTGACTAAACTTTTTCTCTTTTAGGTAAGTTAGGAATATCACATTTGTTTCTGTTATGCTTCATAGCAGAATAATGAGAGAGATATTTTTTAAGAAACTGTTATAACTTTTCTTGAAAGTCAAGTTTACATACAAGATAATTATGCCTCTGAAAAAGCTCAGATGATGGTGTCAAGCTTTTTGAAGTTTCTGATTGGCTAATTTGAGTTTATTGGAGGCACAACTGTAAAATATTATTTAAGGAAAACCTCAAACACACTGCTTCCTTGTGGGACAACATGGAAAATCAATAAGCCAGAATCAACAAAAAAGCCAGATAACAATTTGCTAAATGACACTGGGAAGAAGACTAATTGTTGTAGACATGTCCTGTGCTCAGATTGGAGCTAAGATTGAACTGTTTGGCCATACTGACCAGTGTTGCATTTGGAGGACAAAGGGGAAAGCTTACAAGTCTAGGAACACCATCCCAACTGTGAAGTATAGGGGCGGCAGCATCATGTTGTGGGGCTGTTTTGCTGCAGGAGGTACTGGTCCACTTCACAGCATAGATGGCATCATGAAGAAAGAACATTATGGAGAAATACTGAAGCAACATCTCAAGACATCAGCCAGGAAATTACAACTTGGCCACAAATGGGTCTTCCAAACAGACCATGACCTTAAGCATACTGCCAAATTAGCTTAAATGTGCTTAAAGGACAGCAGAGTGAATGTTTTGGAGTGGCCATCACAAAGCCCTGATCTCAATACTAAAGAAAATTTGTGGGCAGAGTTAAAAAAGCTTGTGCGAGCAAGAATTTCACTCAGTTACACCAATTCTGTCAGGAGGAATGGGTCAACATTCCTTTAAATTATTGTGAGAAGCTTGTGGAAGGAGACTCAGAAACATTTGACCAAAGTTATACCGTTTAAAAGCAAAGCTAAACAAAATACCAAGGAAATGTGTGTAAACTTTTGACTGCCTACTAGAAATTAATGTCAAAATTCTCATTATTTTGGCATTTAGCAAATGTAAATCATTTAGGTAATCCTAACGGACCTAAAATAGTAAACGTTTAGTGTGATTTACCATCAGACATTTTGAAAAAATGGTTATGTTCCTTTTTTTAGGGTGTATGTAAACTTCTGGTTTCAACTGTATAAATACACACAAGTGCTAAGAAAACAATACATTTAGAGTTTGTAAAACACACAAGTCTATGGAAGTCTAACAGTCCATTCAAATATAATTTGCTGATGGGTTTTATTCATATCAGATACACAAAGTGAAAGTAACAATAAAGTTCAGTCTATTCACGATCAAGATCATTTATATGTTTAAACAACAACAAAAAACGGAAAAACATAATAAAAGGGATACATCTGTCATACAGCGCTATTGGGGCTGCAGTGTGTCACGTGACAAACATGACGCAACGCTAAGGAAACATTAAGGGTGAACGTTCTAAAATAATGATCGCCTAACATAACTCTCTCCCGGAGCCAGATGGAGGGCTCTATTTTGACGGTCCATGCGCAGAGCGCAAAACGCAGGGCGCAAACGCTTTCAGGGCGTGTCAGAGCGCGTTTTTGCTAATTTAAGGATGGGAAATCTGCCTTGCGCCGTGGCGCATGGTCTAAAAGGGTTGAGTTTATTTTCTTAATGAGTTATAGGTGTGTTTTGAGAATAAACCAATTAGAGTCTCATCTCCCATTCCCTTTAAGAGCCAGCTGCGTCGCGCCAAGAGCGCATTCGCTATTTACAGGACGCAAAGTAAGTCTAAGTGGAAAAAATGAGCATTTCACAAGCAAACAGTTAACAGTTAACAGTTATTTAACAGAAAACTGTTAAACAGAGCATCTACTGCGTGAGAATGACAGATAATGGATCTACTTTCACATTCGCTCTTGGATAGCCAAAAAACCTGTACGCACAGACATCCATTAGTCTATAAATAAATAATTTTGTTTGTTAAGCGCAAATATTCGTCTCAAAACTATTTCTAAATTCAGTTCTAATTTCCAGCAAAGGAATAAATGAACAATAATAACAAAGTGTGCTCAAAAACCTGAGTTATATCCTAAAACACACGCTGCGCCCCATATGGTCTAAAACCTGACAGGTGGGCAAATCTAAGCTTGTTTTAAATAAAACAAATATAAATATGGATATAATAAATAATACTGCTAATAATAATAACATTATACAAAAGCAAATTGTTATGAATGAACTGAAAAAGCCGCCCGAGATGAAGAAGACATAAAAGCAGTGATTTTTCATATTTATGTAGGCTAGAAAATAATATGTTTTGTAATATTTTAATCCTTTATATTTATATCCTATATCTATTCTTATTATATCCTATATATATCCTTAACATTTAAGTTTTTTCATATGTAAAGATATTTGCCTATTGCTCTCTTGTGTGTATTAAGCAGTGTGTAAGCGAGGCGCAGCTCTGCGCTGGAGTTTAGACCAGGTTTGTTTTGGTCTAATGAAAAATCTATTATAGTTTCTCAAAATAGCAACGCGCCAGCAGTGCACCTCAGAACGCCTTCCTTTTTAGAGCAGAACGCCTATGGGCGCACAAATGAGCGCTAATGCATTTGCTATTTAAACAGCGCAGTGCAACGCCTCAAAACGACTCTTGCGCCAAGCTGAAACTACCAAAAGACTACTGCGCCATGCCCTGCGCCACACTGCGCCGGGTGTATGATAGGGCCCGGAATCTGTCAAACTCCGCAGTGAAAGGGTTAATAACAAGTAAGGCAGCAGTGCTATAGTTAATTTGCACTTTTCATTGCAAGACTGAAGACACGTTTTTATTCACTCTCCTTTTTTGATCATTGTAGTGGCTATTTTCTCTAAGGAGGCTCTCTCAGTGGTCAAGAAACAAAGTCTTACCCGGGATGTCTTTTACAAGTTTTATTCTTTTATAAAGAAGATCACAGTCATACAGCAACAACAGTTTCTGCAGAGTGAGATACTAAAGCCAAGTGTGTTCACCCTTTTATCTGGTTTGTACTGCTTACGAGGTCAACTCCCAATAAGGCCTCATCTACAATTACGTCAGGCGTCTTCTGCTGTTCGTGCGATATGCTCATAACAACCACACATCCTTCTTAGGATAATGAAAAAGCTTTCACCTAAAGAAATATAGTTATCTATAAAAATGTACACACATAGGTTTTATGATGAACATATGGAGAACACAGATACACACACATGTAATAATGAGTCTTAGACAAGTTTCTAACATATAAAGCTCATCTAAAAATGAATTTCCATTACAATCATTCATTTTTCCATCTGTAGTCATGTATAGCTGCACAGCAAAAAAAGCTTTTCTTAGTAATTTCGTCTTGTTTTAAGTCAAAATATCTGAAAAATCTTAAATCAAGACAAGAAAAATGGCATGAGAAAATGAAGTGATGCTTCAAACTTCAGTATGAGATTCTATCTCATTAAGATTATTTTTCTTACCCCATTAGCAAATAATTTTGCTTGTTTTAAGCAAACAATCACTTAATTTTGAGGTGTTTTTTTTTTTTTTAGAAAACAAGACAACTTCTTTTGCTTTTTCATCTGTCTCATACGTATCTTGATTTAAGATCTTTTTTTTTTAGATATTTGAATTGAAAACAGGACAAAACTACTTTTTAATTTTGATTATTATGTGTTGGGTTGCGGTTTGAAGGGCATCCACTGTGTCAAACATATGCTGGATAAGTTGGCGGATCATTCCGTAGTGGCGACCCCAGATTAATAAAGGGACTAAGCCGGAAATAAAACGAATGAATGAATAAATGAAGGAATAACAGCTCAGGGATGTTCAAGGACAACATGTTTGTGCACTCTCTAAAGATTTTAGTTCTGTTTTTGAATAAAGGGTTGGAAAAGAATGCTTTTTCCCCCTTTTTAAAAAAAAAATATCTGATTCATCGATTAATCTAAAAAAATAAAAATAAAAATAAATCGACAGATTAATCGATTATTAAAATAATTGTTAGTGTTGTATGATGGAGTTGAGAATGTGATGGACTCCCACACCAAACACCTGTTCTTAATTTTGGCCTATCTGGCAAAGAAATGTATACTTTTTTTGTGGTCATCTCCTCAGGTGCCTTCCTTTAAAATGCGGCTTTCTCAAGTATGTGCGTTGTTTCCACTTGAGAAACTCACTTAAGACATACACCAAAAGTCAGATGGTTTTTGGCAACTATGGACACCTTTTTAGCATTACATCTATAATCTCCTCTGATTTTCTACTCTCTGTTGCATATGTATGTATGTAGGTGTGTATGTATGCGTATGTGCATATATATATATATATATATATATATATATATATATATATATATATATATATATATATATATATATATATATATATATATATATATATATATATATATATATATATATATATATATATGTATATATATATATATATATATATATATATATATATATATATATATATATATATATATGTATATATATATATATATATATATATATATATATATATATATATATATATATATATATATATATATATATATCTATATATATATATATATATATATATATATATATATATATATATATATATATATATATATATATATATATATATATATATATATATATATATATATATATATATATATATATATATATATATATATATATATATATATATATATATATATAACTGTCATCAGAAAATGGTCGAAAAAGACAAAACAGAAATGAAAAGTAGCACTTTAAAGCAAAATTGTGAATAATTGTTTTGCTTTTGGAGTTTGTGAACCACAGCTTAAAAATAAAATCACACACAAAACCCACCCCAGTATTAATATTACACGATAAAAGTCATGAATGACCGCAAACATATTGTTTTCATATTCCTCACTGACTTCAATATAATATTCGGCGTATTACACGCCATTTTACACAGCTTTGAGCAAGAGTTATCGAGAGTTTG